ATACAAGCACACCTGCACACGCACACCCTCACGTGCACACTCACATGCCGTCCCGCGTGCACACTCACACACGGTGTCATACGAGCACGCTCACACCGTCACGTGCACACTCACAGTCCCGCGTGCACTCGCACACACGGCGTCACACATGCACACACACGCACCGTCACAGTGCACACACATGCTGTCCCACGTGCGCACACACGGTGTCACACGAGCACGCTCACACAAAGGCCCGTCCCGCCCGGGCTGGGTGGTCCCGGGGACCCGGCAGGGATGCCAAGACACCGGTCGATAACGGAAACTGTCTTCTGCGAACCGAACCACCGTCCCTCACCGAGCCGGGCGCTGGCGCCTTCTCAAGCATTTGCAAGGTGAGCCGGGTCCCCCTAGAGGGCGGCAGAGGGCTGGGGTGGCCCAGGAGAGGTGGGCGGAGGTGACCCCTGCCCCGAGGAGATGACACCTGGCGCAGCGGGCCGCCATCTGGTCTCATCTAGAAGGGCATCGTGTCCCCTTGACGACACCTGCATCTGACAGACTTGGAGCCTGAGGCCCAGGCTGCCGAGACTCCTGTCCAAAGTCCCCCAGCAAGTCGGGAACCGGTGCCTCCAGATCCCGGGCGGGTGCCCCCTTCCGTGCCCGGATGTGAGGGGCGTGGCTGGCGGACTCAGCCCCGAGGCCCGACCCGACCCCACGCCTTCTCGCTTTCCGCGGCGCCCACCCCAGCCCTACCCACGTGGGGCCCCCTCGTGTCAGGAACGTGCCCGAGACGACACAGGGCAGGACCGGCACAGCCCAAGCCAGCCACTGATCATTTCTCACCGCCCTGTTCCCCGCCCCCCCCCTTCCGTCCGCTGCCCAGGTCAGCGGGGTCCCAGATCCACGACCTCTGGCACGAAGAAGGGGGTCTGGGGCCTGCTTGTCACCTGGCGGGGGCGGCAAACGGAGGTACTAATTAGCAGCTTCTGGAACACCCCGTGCGCTGGCTGGAAGCGAAGGAAACGCGTTTTCTAATTGGCTCCCTGCCGGGTGTCAGTCCGAGAGGACGCGGCCCCTCAGAGGCCCGCTCCCCAGTCCTCCCCGGCCCCCGCGGCTGCTCTGCCGGCCTCACCTATCCGCCTATCCCCAGGTCGGGTCCCTCCTGCTCCTCGTGCCCCCGGGCTGGCCCAGGTCTACCCCGGGGAGGGGAGGGATGCCCCCCACTCGCACTTTATCCGGGGCTCTACGGTCCCAGCAGAATACAAGGAAGATTCTCTACAGAAGTCCTGCAATCCAATCACGAGACCTACCCACAGCCTCAGAGCACCCGTGCGCCCCCTGCACCCACCCCTGTGGGCACCACTCACTGCTTCTGGAACAAGCCTCTCCCCGACGGCCTGACGCCCACCCTGCTGGGCTCTTGGAGACCCTCCCCCTGCAATTCCATCTCCTGACACATCTTTGTCCTGCCTGCTGCCTGACCACGCAGGCCTGGATGCTAAGCTGGGGTGGGGACTGCTCCCCAGCTTTTAGGTGACCCCAAGGGAATCAGGGTCAGTCTTGGGGACCAGAAGCCCTCCAGGATCTTTGGGGAACAGGAGGGGACAGTGCCAGTCCGGGCCTCGAGCCAACAGGCTCTGGGGAACGGTCAGGAGGACATAAAGGCAGGCGGCACGACAGCGTCAGAGATCGTCGGCTCCCCGAGGGGACGCCCCACTTCTCTCCTGCCTCTGCTGCCCCTCAAATGTCACCCAGCGGCAGAACCGCGGGTGCCCAGGCAGCGAGTGTGGGGCAGGAGGTGGGTTGGCCTCCGTGAAGTCTTGCAAGGGTGGGCCCGCTGGGCTGTTCCTCACCCCTCCCGGCCTTGGGGCAGGACCCGGGTGAGGCTAAAGGTGATTCGAGAGCGGCCGCCCAGGGCAGGCCATTGTGGACCGAGCAGGACAGGCCTCCGTGGGCAAGACACCCGCCAGCTGGGTGACACGAGGGGACTGAAGCCAGCCGCCTTTGACACCACTGCTCTCGGATGATCCATGGGGAGCCAGGGGCTGGCAGGAAGGCGAGGGTTGGGCGGAGGGGTGGGGGGCGGATGGCAGAAGGAATCCCACCTTCCACACCCCCAGAAAAGATGTCCCTGCCGCCCGGGTGCCACGGCAGGTGCGGGGCTTCTGGAGTGCGGTGGGGCCCTCTGGGTTTAGAAAAAGAGGCTGTGCGGCCTGCCTGCTGGTAGGGGACAGGAGACCACTGAGGGGGACTAGGGTCCCTTGGAACATCACAGGTCAGGGAGGCAGAATCCAACATAGTAAGGAGAGAACAAAGTGGGGCCGAGTCAGATAAAACCAGGTGGAAAACAGGAGCTGTCCCGGGAATGTTTTTAAAAAGTCTAATTGTTCTTCCTTTACTTTGCGGCGAGAACAGGGGCTGTGGGCCAACACCTCACGGGACCGCCTGGCCCTTCCCTTCCTCCCTGTCCAGTTCTGGGCAGGTGCGGGGGCACAAGGCTCTTCTCTATGACCCCGGGCTCTCTGGGCCTGCGGAGACAGCCCGTGCTTGTCCCCAAGCCTGGGAACACAACGGAACCCTTGGGCCTTCCGGCCTGAGGCCTCATCTCTCAGAAGAGCGCCTGGACCCCAGCAGAGGCAGGATGCTTCTGGCGGAGAGGACGCGACCCAACCCGGGGCCCCTCCTTGTGGTCGTCACCAGGGCTCAGAGACGACTCAGGGCCCAGATCCTTTACCCTTAAACCATCTCAAAGTCTGTTATTTTCCGGGGGGAAGGCAGACGTTCCTGCGGGCACTGTCGAGGGGCTTTGGGGAAGGTACTGTGGGCCCCAGAAGGGTCTGGAACGGGGATCCCCACGGCCTGATCACGTCTGAGCCAGGCGGCCTGAGTCACTGGGATCCTGCTCTGGGCTCCAGTGTGGGGTGTGCACGCGGGTGCGTGTGGGCGTGTGGACAGACGCTTTCTCGGAGGAAAAAGCAAGTTTTACGAGTTCTCAATATTCCTTTGGGTTCCCTCGGGCCTCCTCATTCATTCGTTATGCTAAAAGGTCCCGACCACCATCCTTATCAAAGAAGAAAAAAAACACAAAAAAGGGGTTGGTTCAAATGGCCGACCCAGGTAAGACCCAGGTAAGACCTGGCTGGACGCCCTTGGGTCGGGGAGGGACGGACCAAGGTTCTCTTCCACCTGCTCTGCTCCCTTCCTCCCCTCCCCTCCTGCCCAACTGCCTGCCGACCAGCAGACGACACCCCTCCCGGGGAGCCCGTCAGGCACCCAGCCCTGTGCTGGCTGCTTGTAGACACAGCCAGCAGGTGCACGGCCTTCATGCTGCACACAAGGAAACGGAGGCTCAGAGAAGCAAGTGATGCGTCCCGGGTTCTACGGAAGGATTGGGGGCAGACCTGGGAAGCTGCACAGGCGTGAGGAGCCAGAGCAGGGCTGGGGGCCGGGGGGACAGGGCTGCCGAGGCCTCGGATGGGGAACTCGCCTCCAAGAGGCCGACTGCAGAGGGACAGACGGGACTGGGCAACACCCAGCGGGAGCGCGGAGGGTGGACCGTCCGTGCAGGAGGCGGCGGCCCAGCCCCCGTCCAAATGGGCCGGGCCCACCAGCCTGGGGGGAGGCCCGGACGGTGGAAGCCACACCGGGCCCGGGTTCAGGACCACTCGGGCCCGCATCCAGGCGGCAGTGACCTCCCGGCCGGGTGACGGGGGCCTCGGCCGCCCACACGGATGCCCGGCTCTCTGCACAGGGGCCTTCCTCAGCTGTGCCCGCAGATGCTCCTGGGACTTCTGTCCACCGGGCCGGCTCTGAAGTGCCCCCCAGCTCGCTGTGCACATCTGCCCGGGGGCCCTGGGGGCTTCCTCGCCTCCGGCGGCCTCCCCGACTGCTTCCCACCCACCGTGACCACAGTCAGGCCTCGCCCCTGCATCACGTGGTGTCTGGCCAGCACAGGCCCCCAGCCAGCACAGACGCGCTCAGGTAGCGGAAACCACAAACCCGGCTCCCGACCACAGGGAGAAGGGGTGCGGGGAGCATGGCCTGGAGTGAGTGACAGGCTGAGTCGCCCCTTCCCGCCGAAAGGGGCCTCACGGCTCGAGTGACAGGGCACCTGCACGGGGCTCCTGGGGCCGCCAGCCCCAAAGCTCCCGGCTGCAAAACCCCTTTGGTGACCCCCGCAGCTGCGTTCAAAGTTCAGGTACATCAGAACTGTCAGCACACCCTTTAAAATGCAGATTCCCAGGTCCACCTCAGCCCTGCAGGGTCGACCCCTGGAAGGAAGAGGCTTCAGAAATACGAGTTTTAGGGGCGCCTGGGTGGCTCGGTCGGCTCAGCATCAGACTCTTGATCTCGGCTCAGGTCACACTCTCATGGTTCATGAGTTCAAGCCCCACATTGGGCTCTGTGCTGACAGCGCACAGCCTGATTCGGATTCTCTCTCTCCCTCTCTCTCTGACCCTGCCCCACTCCGTCTCTCTCTCTCTCTCTCTCTCAAAATAAATAAAAACTTAATTTAAAAAAAAGGAATAGGAGTTTTACACCCTTGGAGCTCCCACCGCCTTTCCTGAAGAGCCCCACTTTGAGCACCGGAGGGAGACTCAAGTTGGAAGCCCACAGAATGGATGAGGGCACCGAAAACCAGAGAGGTAAAGCGACTAGTCTGAGGCCACACAGCAGCCCCCCCTCCCCACCTCCGGGACAGAGTGAAGACCAGAGGCCAGACTGGGCATCCCAGCCGCAGGGGAGCCCCACTGGCCCGGATGCCAGATTCTCCTCCCTGCCAGGTAGAGAACCCAGCCCTCGCACCCCGCGGCCCCTCCCGCCCCACGGCCCCTTGCCTCCGAGGACCCAAGTGGAAGAGGTGACAAGCCCGTTGGGCGTGGGATGCCACCAGCCGGGCCCCTGGCCGGTCACAGGGACTCCACGACCAGCACGCAGCCTGGACCACGTGCAACCGAGCCCCACTCCCGGCTGGTCACGTGGCCCCGCTGTCCCCGCCAGACAAGGGGACTCACACTCACCATAGTCCTTCCTGCAGTACTTTTTCATGTTAATCTTCAGCTTCCCTTTCGAGGCCTTGCAGTAGGAATCGCAGTCTGCAGGGGAGGGAGAGCACAGACAAAACCTAATTAGGCTGGCAATGAATAGGCTGCAGGCCGAGTGGGAGGCCTGCCTCCCCAGATACCCAGAGGCCTGCGATACCCTCGGGCCGAGCGGGCGGCCATTCAGGGCAGGCCCGGCCTTCTGAAGAGGCGCCTGGGACAAAGGCCCCCCCCCCCCCCCCCCGCCCCGGGCCGACCCACCCCCCTGGGGCCTGACGAATCCCTCCTCCGCTGCCCGCAGCCCCCCTCGGCCTCCATGAGGGATGCGGGGGGCTCTCGTATTGTGCCACCCAGGGCTTCTGAGCGCCACACAGATTCCCCCCACCCGGTTCTTAAGACACAACTGGAGCCTGATTAAAGCCGATAGAGGCCTCATTGTCACCCCGTGCCCTGGGCCTGTGTCAGGCGCTGGCTTTCATGGCGCGGGGCCTCTGGCTGGGGTCAGACCCCAACAAAAGAGGTCACGGAGGAAATTAGCAGCCCATGAAGCATTAGAAAGCCCCTTTGGTGTCCACTCTACTGGAGTGTGCAAATAGAATGTTCCACGAAGAAGAGTTCAGTTCTAATGGGCCCTACTGCTGAGAGCCAGGGCTGCTGGGCCTGCGACCGCCGGGTATCGCTTCGGGGGCTTCCCGGAGCCGGAGCGCGAGCCAGGCGCGACGTGCGGGGCCCTGGGGCCTGCCGAGATCCAGCCTGCTTCTCCCCCGGGGGCGGCCTCTGTCCACCCGAAGCAAACCTCCAGCCTCGGCCCAACCACGCCCTCTCCCCCACCAGCTCTTCCCGCTCCGGTGATGCGATTCCTTTGCTGGATCCGCGTGTGATGTGACACCCTCATTAGCGCGACGGCCAGCCCAGCCCAGAGGGGCCCAAGAAGTCGCCCCGGCCCGCCCTGCACCACCGGCCGATGGGTCTCGCTCAGTTCTTTGATACGTGGGTGATACTCCCTTCCGGCAGATAAGAAACCCAGGACTACCCGCCCGGTGCATCTTGGAGAGCCGGTGCCCCGGCTGGGCCTCAGACTCAGATCTGAGATGCTGCTCGATTACTGCACTAGGTTATGCCGAGCAGTGTCTCTGCAAACCAACGGATTCCCTCAAAAGTGGGCCGTTAACGCTCAGAGCTGGGGACGCACACACCGCTGGTGGGGAAGCGGGCTGGGGGCTTGGACGGCCCAGCCTGGTCTAGGAACAGACACAGCATCGGGCAGTGGATGTGAGCTGGGCACGTGTGTCCTGGTGACGGGCGAGGAGAAGGGGGCTACAAAGGTCACATACACACAAAGAGGTGACCGCCCCAGGAACAGGTGCCATCCCTCACTCTGCAGAGGGGAACACCAAGGCCAAGGTGGGGGTGAGCAATGATTTGTGTGGGGGCACAGAACAAAGCGAGAGCAGCAAATCAGGCCTCCCAGTGCATCTGCCCCCCTGCCCCCATCATGGCTCCGATAGGCAGAAGAGAATATTCAGAGATTTCCCGAAATTTCCTGAGATTTCGCTAAAGTCAGCCTCTGGCCCCATGGGAGGTGGATGCCTCCTTCCAAGTTCTGGAATTCACTGACTGGTGCCTCGGTTGAAGGAAAAACAGCTCCATCCCACTGCCCTGAGGACCATGGGCCTGGCAGCCCCCTGCCCCCTCCTGAACCAACTTCCTGGGGCACCTGTTTGGGTACCAGTCTCAGGAAATGGGGGAGAAAAGCAGCCCCTCCTCCTGCTGCCCTGTGGTCTGAGTCCTTGGACCTGAGCCCTCGCCCACCCGCTGGGAGGCCCCACCCACCCCCCAGGATGCCCCGCCCACCTGCCAGGAGGCCCCCCCCATGGCCAGAGGGCACCTGTCGGGATGCTCCGCCCACTCTCCAGGAGGCCCCGCCCACCTGCCAGGAGGCCCCCCCCCCCACCAGCCAGAGGGCACCTGTCAGGATGCTCCACCCACTCTCCTGGAGGCCCCGCCCACCTGCCAGGAGGCCCCGCCCAGGAGCACCAGAGGCCCTAAGTGCTGGCTGGCTGGTGACCGCAGCAGGGGCCTCTCGGGACGCAGGATCTGGGTTGTCCAGACACAGCAGCCTGCATTCTGTGGCCAAGCCCGAGAGGTCAATGTGAGGTGATGGTGGCCCGAACGCACACATCAGTGGCACTGGCACCATGACCACCACAGCACACTTCACCCGTGGGAACGGCTGCTCTTGGCCACATCTCCGCCAGCTCAGGGACAGATGACGCTCAGGGCAAAGCCACCACTGCGTCTGAACCCGGGTTGTGCGTAAGTCCTTGCGGTCCTGAGCGAGCTGGCTCGAGTCCCTCCCTGCCCTCTCCACTGAGGGAAGCGAATTGGAATACGAGCAGGGCTGGGTGACGTTATTCCTGGGGCAGCCTTGAATCCACTCTCGTCGCTTCCTTATTATTTTTACGAAGGTCGAACGTCGTTGGCCCGCGTCAGGGCTTGCATTCCAGTCTGCAGGAAATGCCCCACACCCTGCCTCCCCGGCACCAGGGCCAGACACACCCCCTCCGTCTCAGCCCGGGGCACACAGCCCAGGCAGTCAGCGCTAGTCCCACCTGAAAGCCAGGAAGGTTCCAGAGCATCCGCCACAAGTCAGCCCGGCACCGTGGGGCTGGAGGGATGGTGGCCGGACCCCGCGACAACCTCCCGTGACACCTTCGGCCCTGGCGCCCTCCTGTCCCTCCTGGTAACATCCACAGCTCCTCCCTCCGGGGCCAAGAATCCACCTGGCACAGAAACCGTCTTAGAACGTGTGGCGTGCATCCCTGCCTAGTGAGACCCTGCTTGACAAAGCCTCGGTGGGTCCCCGTGACTATCGAGACCCAGCACCTCAATGGCAGCCCCTCAACATTACCAACGAGGCATGAGGTGTGAGCCCTCAGCCCTGACAATTAGCCGCCTTTTAGAGATGAGGCAGTCTAGCTGGAAAACTCCTGCTAGTCACACCCCGGTGGTTCCCCACCCGGGGCCCTAGGGGATGGAATTACCCAGAAGCTTTAAGAAACACTGATGTCTGAGTCCCACTCCCAAGACGTTCTGATTTCACTGGTTTAGGGGGCATGTCCCGGATTTTAAGTTTTTATTTATTTATTTATTTATTTATTTATTTATTTATTTAGAGAGAGCGAGCGAGCGAGCAGGGGAGGGGCAGAGAGAGAAGGAGAGAGAGAAGAATCCCAAGCAGGCTCCTAGCTGTCAATGCAGAGCTGGATGCGGGGCTTGAACTCATGAACTGTGAGATCGTGACCGGAGCTGAAATCAAGAGTCGGGTGCTTAGCCAACGAAGCCACCTAGGTGCCCCTGCATGTCCTGAGTTTTAATTTTTTTAATGTTTATTTTATTTTTGAGAGAGACAGAGAGACAGAGCATGAGTGGGAGAAGGAGAGAGAGAGAGAGAGACGGAGACACAGAATCCAAAGTAGGCTCCAGGCTCCGGGCTGTCAGCACAGCCCCCGACGTGGGGCTTGAACCCACGAACCATGAGATCATGACCTGAGCTGAAGTTGGACACGTAACTGACTGAACCACCCAGGTGCCCCTGTCCTGATTTTTTAAGTTCCCCAGGTGAGTCTGATGCGCGGCCAGGGTCCTAGGAGTCACTCCTGGAACTAACTATAGGTGTGGAAGGTAGGGCCAGGGTGCCCAGGGCACCCAGACTGGCAGAGGAAAGGCCCAGAGACGTGGTTGTTGACTCAAAGTGGAGGGCGCTCACGTAGAGCGCCTGCCCTTACCAGGCACTGGTAAGCATTTACAGTTGTATCTGTTTTCACTTTGGTGTGTGAGTTGTGGGGTGAGAGCAGGGGTCCTATGTCTTTCCTTCTGGTCCACCAGAAACACCTCTTTTTTTTTTTAATTTTTAAAAAAATTTATTATTTTTGAGAGAGAGAGAATGCACGTGTGAGCAGGGAAGGGGGAGACAGAGCATCTGAAGCGGGCCCTCTGCTGTCGTCAGCATAGAGCCTGACATGGGGCTCGAACTCACGAACCGCGAGATCACGACCTGAGCTGAAGCCAGACGCTTAACCGACTGGGCCACCCCAGTGCCCCCATCAGAAACACTCCTTAGGTCAGTGTGCCCGTTGTCAAAAAACGTTCCCTATCCCCTTCAGAGTTGCCGGTTCCGATTTGGTTGTGGGCTAGGAATGCAAAGACCAAGACCGTTAGAAGTGTGCAGAAAACACGGGTAACCCGGCTTCGAATGAGGGAAACGGAACACTCTCCTTTGGGTAAAGTGAATAACACCCGGAACACGGACACCGTGGCAGCTCTCTGGCTGCTTGTGCACTCCTTGTTTGGGTTGTATTCCAGAGAATTGAGGTCACTGGACAAGTGGTCCCTGGATAGGGAAAATGTTCCTGCACTTCCTTCTTTGATCAGATGCACACACAGCTAAGGAGCCTGCTGCGGGACGGACAAGCCACAGCTTTTACACGACGCAGTCCCGACTCCTTCAAAATGGCACATCTACCGGGCAGCTCCCGTGGAGCCTCTCTCCTTATTTTGTTCCAAAATAGCTGTAAAGACGAGGGGGGGGGGGGGGCAGAAATTCACGCTAACGCCAAAAACTAAACTGATAGATGACCCAATGTTGGAATCTGGGAGCAATCTTTATTAATTAAAGGCAGATGGTGGTGAAACAAGCAAAACCTGTCCCAGGTTTTACCTCGAGACGCAGCCTTTTGTCTGATGAACAGAAAAGATCTTGAAAAAAAAGAGAGGACACAGAGGCAAAACCACCAGAAAACAAAGGGGCAGGAAGTGGGTGGGGGCATCGGCGGCGGTTCCCTCCTCCAGGGAGAGGATTCTTTTTTTTTTTTTTAATGTTTTATACATTTTTGAGAGAGAGCGCGCGCGCACGCGGCTGAGGAGCAGGGAGAGAGAGGGAGAGAGAATCCCAACCAGACTCCACACCGTCAGTGCAGAGCCCCATGTGGAGCTCGAACTCATGATCCGTGAGATCACGACTGGACCCAAAGTCAAGAGTGGGATGCCCAACC